CATGTAATTTCTTGTTTTTATTAATTAAATTTATTCATTTATTTTACATCTTGACCACAGTTTCCTCTCCCTCATCTCCCTCCATACCCCCTCCCTGTCCCCCCCCCCCCCCCAATCCACTCCTCCTCCTCTGCCTCTGTTCAGAAAGGGGCAGGTCTCCCATGGGTGTCAACAAAGCCTGGCATAGGAAGCTGAGGTAGAACTAAGCCCCTCCCCGTGTATTCAGGCTGGGCAAGGCAACCCAGTATGAAGAATAGGTTCCTAAAAGCCAGCAAAAGCATTAGGTACAGCCCCTGCTCTTTCTGCTAGGAGTCCCCCAAGCAGATCAAGCTACACAACTGTCACACATATGTAGAGGGCCTAGGTCCATCCCATGCAGGCTCTCTGGCTGTCAGTCCAGATTCTGTGAGCTCCTATGAGCCCAGGTTAGTTGTTTCTGTGGGTTTCTTTGTGATGTCCTTGACAACCCACCCCACCCCACCCTGCTCATACAATCCTTCCTCCCTCTCTTCAGCAGGAGCTCAGCCTGATGTTTGGCTGTGGGCCTCTGTATCTGTTTCCCTCAGTTACTGGATGAAGCCTCTCTGATGACAATTGGGGTAGTCAACAACCTATGAGTATAGCGGAATATCGTTAGGCATCATTATGTTGATACTTTCTTTTTTCTCCAATCGTGTTTGGTTCTATCTTAGACCTCTGGGCCATCCTACCTCTGGGTCCTGGCCCTCCAGGTAGTGTCAGGGGTGGTAGCTCAGTCTCGTGGTCTGGGTCTGAGTCTGGACCAGTCATTCTTTGGCCACTCCCACAATCTTCACAACTACCGTTACCACCTTCCAACCCCCACACTTCCCATAGGCAGGACGGACTATATGCCAAAGGTTGTGTGGCTAGGCCAGTGTCCCAATCCCTCCTTTTCGGTCACAGGAGATGGCCAGTTCAGGCTACACATCCACCTTTCTAGAAGTCTTAGGTGGGGTCATCCTTGTAGATTCCTGGGAGTTTCTCTTGCACCAGGTTTCTATCTGACCCCGAAACCCTCCCCTCACACTTTCCAGTCCTCTCTCAGTACTCCCCCCACTCATCCACTCTCCAACCTGATCCCTCATGTTCCCATCTCCACCTCTCCCCACACCACCCACGAGATCTCTTCTATTTCTCCTTCCCTGCGAGATCACCATGTAACCATGATCACCGTGACTCATTCATTCACTGTTCAGCTTATAGGCATCTATCGGTTATGAATATGCATTCTTCTTTATGTAAGGGATTGTATATTAAGGTTGTTCTCTCCAGGCCTTATGCTACCTGAAAAATCCTTTCAACTATATATGGACAACTGATATTTCATCTCTTTAATACTCCATGAAAGAGGATATTGGTTTGGAGAAGTTCTTGTTCTAAAAACAAAATTGGAGTTGTACTTACTGTGTTCTATGTAAATCACTACATAAGAATAGCCATCTGTGTAGACTGTCATGACTATAGGATATCCAACAATTAATTCATAAACTGCACTAATGAACATAGTTGAGATTTTTTAAACAGAACAAAAAATCAAAACAGTTGTTCCTGGTGTTTAACTATTATATGAACTATGAAAATAACTTATAAAAGTAGACTTTAATATAGTGGTTCTCAATCTTCCTAATGCTGCCTTTAATACAGTTTCTCATGTTGTGGTGACCCCAACCGTAACATTATCTCACTGCTACTTCAAAACTATAATTTTGCTACTGTTATGAATCAAAATGTAAATATCTGATTCGTGACCTGTGTGGGGGTCACCACCCACAGGTTGAGAAACACTGCTTTTGTTTGTTTTGTCTTGTTTTCGAGACAGGGTTTCTTTGTGTAGCCCTAGGTTTCCTGGAACTTGTTCTGTAGACCAGGCTGGACTCGAATTCAGAGATCTGCCTGCCTCTGCCTTTTGAGTGCTGGAATTAAAGGTGTTCGCTGCCCAGCTTGAGAACTACTGCTTTCAAACCAAATATACAGCTAAAGACTGTTATAACATAGACACTATCAAATGCCACTTAGAAGTCAAATAAAAGAGATTTACTTTAAAAGTACTCTTGAAGCTCTTGCTAATAAGTATTGGTTTCTTATTCCACTCAGATATCAATGCCACAGACATTGTGGGCTGGGAAGATGGCTCAGCTGGAAAAGGTCTTGTCTTGCAAAGATGAGACCCTCAGTTCATACCCAGAAAACATCTAACCAAAGCAAGGCATGCTGGTATACACTTGTCATCCCAGCACTGGGGAAGCCTAGAGAGGCAGACTTACAGGGCAGATTACAAAAGAAAGCGTTTAACCGGGTTTCTTACAGTTCCAGAGGGCTGGAGTCCAGGATGGCCAGGTGAAGGCACGGAGGCAGAAACAGTGGAGTGCTTACATCTTGATACCCAAGCTGAAGGCAGAGAGGCACACTGGGATGACTCTAATCCCTTCAGAGTCCACCCCCAGTGACACGCCTCCTCCATAAAGGCCACACCTCCTAATCCTTCCCCAACAGGCCTTCCAAGCATTCAAACATGTGACCCTATGGGAGCCATTCTCATTCAAACCGCCACAGGAATGGTACCCAACATTGTCCTCTGGCCTCCACAAACATGCGCAAACACAGGCACATGCCCCCACAAGCCTACACATTATCTATTACCATCACACCATTTTGTTATTGGGCGAGTATCACAGGGTAAACTTACAGTAACGCGGCTAAAATGTCACTGTACAATATGCTGCCATGACTACCGTTGTCTATGAGGTCCAATCATTTCCCCAAACCTCACCATGCAGTGCACCACTATATACAAGTACTCTAAGACGAATTTAGGAATATATTGTGTTGACCCCATTTTTATGAGTTAATGGTCACTTAACGGATGTTATCGAATTCAGGTATGGTTATGCCCAGGAAACAAGCATTCAAAGTAGCTTACCATAAAGCAAACACATTAAATCTTAAAATTTACCCTTGAGTTAAATCTGTTTGTTAGGAATGGGAACATACTGCACTTATAAAATGTAAGATCTTGAATCTCTTTTGATATGGCAGAATTTTCATTCCTTTAAATGACATGAGTATTTATTGAACATGTACCATGTGCCAAATAGTACTGTATGCATTAGGTGAGGAAAACTGAAATTAATCACAATTGCTTAATACTAAAGGCTCTAATTTACTAACAGAAGCTATGGACCAGGTGTCAAGCTTAGCACTATCTGTATATATTTCATTCAATCTGCACCAAAGCCTTTCAAGAATAGGTACAAGGGAACCCATTGTACAGATGAAGAAACTGTAGCTCAGGGACACTCTGCAACTTGCAAGGAGCACCCTGTTAGTGAATAGCAGAATCATGAATAGGGCCCAGTACTGTAGGTCAATGCTGTGGTGGCTTTTAAGCATCCTGGTGCTGCATCTTTTAGAAAAGGTATTCTGATGGTCTGATCAAACTGGTGTGTCAGAGGAGGTTGTACATCAATGGAGTCTCGGAAAAATCTCCCAATAGGCAGTTTTACAGAGTGCCTGGCTGGGAAGGGTAGCCAGAGAAATATATGACAAGGAGTAGTATGGAGCGGGTCGGCACAAGTGTCCTGCTAAAGGTGCTGTATACCATCTAGATTTCATACTTTAGGTAGACAATGGTGGTGGTGGTAACATTGGTGGTAGCAGCCTACTGCCTGGTTCCCCGTGTATAACAATCAAGCTGTAACTAAAGGCTGTGGCTGGGCCACAAACAGAAGTGAGCTGAATCTTGATGTCTTCAGGCCCAGTTGAAAATGGAAAGGACAAAGGAGAGGTTGACTCACTACAGTACGAGAGTTCTGTGCAGGGCTCTCCTGCAAGCTGGGGAACCTGAGAGAGGGTGGCACAGCTCAGTCTAATTTCAAAAGCCACGACCCATGCTAGGGAAGGGAACCAGCCCATGCTACAACCTACAGTTAGAGGCTGAGGGCCGGGGGGGGGGGGGGGGGGGGGGGGGGGGGGGTATGGTCCTGGAGTCCAGGAAGCCTGGAATTCTCACGGCAAAGGACAGTAGGAGAAGAGGTGTTCTGGGAGATGAGTACATTCTTTTCTAGTTTCATCCTCTCCAGGTCCCTGAATGGTAATTACACACACTGAAGGTGAACATTCCCCACTGAATGTACTCGGACTCATTTATTTATCAATCTCTGGAAATCCCCTCACAGACAATCCCCAAATAGACTAATTAGTCCTCAGTGCAAACTGAGTTGCCACCTGAAACTGTCATGCTTCATTCCATCAGTTGTACCCCAATATTTTTCAAATCCCCATGTACATCTGGATTGGTTGTTTTCTCCACTGTGTATAACCCCAAACAACTGAAACAGCTAATTAGCGTTGCTATCAGGCCCTTCAAAATGAGACTCAGTCCTCAGTCCTAGGTATTCATCGCTGTCTCTGTATATAGCCTGCATTCCACCTATGCTGAAGTGGCTGAAGAGTGTAACACATCATACTCTCTTAACTACTTTTTTTTTTTAGCACAGAGGCGTGTCTTCACTTCCCACCTCCACCTCTAGCTGCACACCAGGAGAGGCAATGGTAGGTAACAGAGGATAGACTGGACCCTCCTGGAATATGTTTGGAAAGTTGTAGGAGCGGAAAGGTGTGACACCTCTCCAAACCCACCATAAGGGGCACGACCAACACTCGCATAAAGCAGGCTGACTAGAGGAAAGCGTGATGAATGCCTTTAGCCAATGTCTTCTGTGACACAGGAGCTTGTCAGAGACTAAGCCTGAAAGACCCCCGCCCCCCAACCCCGGGAAAACTCGACTCAGGTATGTGGATGTGAGAGGCTTAGTGGGCAGGCCACATTCTCCGCCTCTCCCTAACATTCCTTCTTCCCGAGGTTTATGAGGCAGAATGTCCTAGAATGAGGGGCTTCAAGGGAGGAGGGGGAAGGAGACATGATCTTCCCAGGTTTTATGGTTGGCCTGAGGGAGAGCATTCTAGTTTCTACCACTCACCTTGCAGAAGAGGAATTTTGGTTTCTTGGAGTTGGCTTTGCTTTGGAGGGCAAACCAGGCCTGCAGGAAGGACCGCAGCTCAGAGATACCTGGCTTCTGAGGCCTTTGCAGTTTCCTTCCTTCAAGGCACTGAGCAATGCGGCACCAAGTGTCACAGTTTAAAGTAGTGTCTTCTGAGCCTGAACATAATAAAATACATAATAAAATATTCTGCTTGGTGATGAATTTTTTTTTTTTTTCAAGACAGGGTTTCTCTGTGTAGCTTTGCGCCTTTCCTGGAACTCGTTTTGGAGACCAGGCTGGCCTTGAACTCACAGAGATCCGCCTGCCTCTGTCTCCCGAGTGTTGGGATTAAAGGCGTGCGCCACCACCGCCCGGCATCGGTGATGAATTTTAATGTCTTGGTTATAGACATTATAGACAGTCTGCACTTGCTTCATTAACATTGAATACATTAAAAGTCAAATCATTTATGAACAGACATAGACTTGGAGATGTCATCTAAAGCCTAGCATAAAATACACTCTTTAATTCAGTCATGGGAAAAATGCTCACAATGTCTGTTTTTCTTTTTCTTTCTTTTTTTTCTTCAGTAGGTTCGGATGGAGTATGCCAAACTTATCCTAGGGAATTGCTTATATGTAAGAAACAAGTGGAAGAGTTGTTTGGCGATCACTCAAAAAATAGGAGGATAAGAAGAAATACGTATGCTGTCAATTTCCTTGGAAACCCCTTCATAGTGTTGCTAGAAAACAAGACATAAAAGTAACTAGATCGGAGGCAAACAAGGAGATCTCCCTTCAGGCCTACAGACCAGGAGTGCATCTCCAATCTTCTAGCTCTTCTGGGTTTTATTGATGCCTCTGAGTCCCGAGAGAAACAAGAGCCTTAAACCCTTGCATTCCAGAACTCTTGACTGCAACTGAATTCTGGCTCCACCTTCAGGTAGACACTGCCGCGCTGGCCGGGCACCTCAGTTTCCCCACGTCGATACCCGGGGTCCCGGCAACTGTTGCAGGCTCTCCCCGAGACGTTACAAAGTGTGGAACCCGCCGGGCTCTGGGAAGCGCACTCCGCGCTCGAGCTGTTACGTCAGTGGTTTCCCTCGGCGGCGCCCGGGCTGTCCTCCTAAAATACTAGTATAAGAAGTATAAATGGCCCGGGAGTGTGCAGGGACCGGGCCCACGTGACCGCTCCACGAAGGCCACCGGCGGGGGCTTCGGAGCGCAGGCCGCGCGGTTTCCCGCCGCATGCCCGGCGGACGTGCGGGCGAGCGGGCGAGCGGGGGGCTCCGGGGCGCGGGGCCCTGGCGGCGGCTCGAGCGCTGCCTCGGGCCGGTGAATCATCCCGGCAGACAGCGAGCGCCGCGGCGGCCCGCAGCAGCAGCGGCAGCAGCGGCAGGAGCAGCGGCAGGAGCAGCAGCAGCAGCCGCCGCGCCGGAAGATGGCCGAGGCGGCGGCGGGCTTCCTGGAGCAGCTCAAGTCCTGCATCGTGTGGTCGTGGACCTATCTGTGGACCGTGTGGTTCTTCATCGTGCTCTTCCTGGTCTACATCCTGAGGGTGCCCCTGAGGATCAACGACAACCTGAGCACAGGTCAGGCCCCGGGGCCCCGGCCGCCCCTCCCCCGCCCCGGAAAGTTAGTGCAAGTCGGCGCGGGGTCGCGGCCGGCCCGGCGGGGACGCGCGCTCGGGGACGCGCTGCCTCAGGTGGCCGCCCCGAGCTCGCCCCGCGGCCTTCGGGGGCCCACGGTGCCTAGGGGCGGGCAGCGTGCGGCGACCCCCCCACCCCCGCCCGGGCGCCAGGGTCCGGGCCGTCCCCTGGCTGTCCCCGCCGAGCCCCGAGAGCTCCCGAGCCCTCACCGGGGCTCGAGCGTCGCAACCGCGGCCAGGAGGCGTCCTGCTCCCGGCTTCTGCGCCGAGAGGGCCCACGCGTGGCCCCGGCTGGGGGCGCGCGCTCCGCGGCTCGCCAGCGGAGCCTCGGCCCGCAGGGTGTCGCTGTGAGGTGGAGCGCGAGGGCATGTCCGTAGGTCCTTCTAGGAGCATGGATGACGTGTCAGGTCACCCAACGGAATGTCCAGGGGACACGCGGACGCGCGCGGGGGATCTGGCATTGCTGTCGCTCCCCCAGCTGAAGTTTTCGTGTTCTCTGCTGAGCTCTCCCTAAAGGGCGATCGATGGGCTGAACAAGTGTGCATGTGGCGAATAGGGTCTTAATAAACTTGCAGCCAGCTAACCCCGTTGTTAAAAGCCATGGCAAACTCAGCCTAAGAACACCCAAGAGACAGTTGAGAAACAAAACGTACTTTGAAGGAACCCTTACAGCCCTTCAAGTCTGCAAATTATTGTGGATTCAAGAGAGATACACCTATTTCCTCACACTACCTTGGAAAGTCTTTCTGTCTTATTTACAGAAGTAGATATAGACATTCACATAACTGTGTCTTCTGTTGTTTAATTTACATACTCAGCGAGACCAAGGTTGGGAAAGCATTTCCTATGACCATAACTGTGAGTGGGGGCGGGCGGGAGGTAGACCCTTTTAGGTGCTTGCCACAATGTACTCATTTTGTTTGGACATAATCTTTTAACATTATAAACGTCATTTAATGTGATCGGGTTACTATGTTTCTTTCATAGTATCCTTTGGATGGTCTCCGTGGGAGGCCGACAGGATTCTGCACATAGAATCAGCTCGCTCTTCTATAGGGGATGCTCAGCTTTTTTGGCTCTGATTATTACAAACATCTTGCGTTTTTGGCCTTTTCTCTGTTAGCATGGCTGCTTGTCACATTATTGCTTTCCTTGCTTTAGGGCAGAGGTTCGCAACCTGTGAGTTCTGACTCCTTTGGGGGTCGCATATCAGATGTCATGTATAACACATATTTATATTACGATTCATAGCAGTAGCAAAATTACAGTTATGAATTAGTAACGAGATAATTTTATGGTGGGGGGGTCACCATAAAATGAGGAACTGTATTAAAGGGTGGCAGCTTTAGGAAGGTTGAGAACCACTGCTTTAAGGTAAGGTATTTTCATATGACTCTAGTGACTAGAATCTAGTCTCAAGGCCTATTCTTTAAACACATTTAAATATGTTTATCACCTATTTATTGGAAGGCACACCCATTTTTTTTCCTCCCAGAAAATTTGTTGTAGAGTTTTTAAAAACTTGAATGTTTTGCATAATACACATTGATATTTATTTTAGAACACATATCTGTATACTACATTTGCTTAAAATAGGCTAAGTAGTTATCCATACAGATATGTAAGCGTGTGCATAGAGAACAGAGCAGGCAGGAAGCAAGATACCTCTTAGGAAGAGGGACAGTTTTTCAGGATAGTTGGAGTTTCACACCATACCCAGGCAACACTAGACCTGGCATTTCTTATGGATGGTTTGCATAGGGACATTTCTAATTGAGACTCGTGAGTAAATTCGATGTCTGGCTTGTGCCTTCCTAGATACCGTGTGGAAGCTCTTTCTTCTGTCATAGAGGACCTCAGTTTGTCTTGGGGTTTTGTGCACATTCTTGTCATAAAGGGCGATAAAAAGAGAAGCACATGGAGAATAGTCACCTCTCTGCTATTTTTATGAGAATATAGTAGATGAGGGAAAACTTTTACACTGGTCTTGAGACATCCAACTATGGCAGTGAGCCACCACAGCTAAGATTAGGTTTTTCAAAAGGCAGCGGCAGACATTGGATGGCATTTTTCTTCCCTTTTAAGTAAAAGTGAGAAGTTCTTGTAGGAAGACTGCCAGAAGATTCCTGTCAACTTATTTCCCTCCTTCCCTTGCCAATTTCTCTTTCCCATGGAAACAACTTTCTATAATGAAAGAACTTGCTGGCGAGCTTGCACACCTCCAAGCAACTGCCCTTCTGTGGTCCAGCTGGTCCTTGCAGAGGGCTCTTTAAATGGGGGTCTATTCCAACCCGACTCTCTCTCTTCCTCCTTCTCATTCTTTTGGTTTTTTCTGAGACAGGATCTCTTGATGTAGCTGTGGCTGGCCAGGAACCTACAGAGATCCACCTGCCTCTCCCTCCCAAGTGCTGGGATTTAAAGTGTGGACCACCATGCCCTGCCTAACCCAACTCATGTTGCTGTTCTTTGGCCCGGTGGTGCTTGCTCCTCCTGTGATGAAGCAGAGAGGCTACTGGGTCTAGAGCTGTTTTCTAGAGTTGCTGCAGATGGTGTAGACCTCTACAGCACTGAAGGAAGGCCCAGCTTTGAGGCAAACTCCAACTCTCTTCCTGAATGAATTCCACGATCCAGTTCCTTCTTTGCATCCATAGGGAGTGGACTCTGATTTAACTGTTCCTGGACATGTGGCATGCTCTCCTCAATATCTTTTTTTTTAAATTGAAAATAGGTTCTTCTCTCATACAATACATCCTGACCACGGTTTCCCCTCCCTCCACTCCCACCAGCTCCCATCTCCTCCAGACCCACTCCTCTTTCATCTGTCAGAAAAGAGCAAGGCTCCAAGAGACAACAACCAAACATGACAAAAAGAAAAATACAGTAAGACAAGGCAAAAGCCTTCATATGGAGGCTGAACAAGGCAACCCAACAGGAGAAAAAAGAGTTTCAAGAGCAGGCAGAGGAGTCAGACACACACCCGCCCCCACAGTAAGGAGTCCCACAAAAACACCAAGCTAACAGCTACAACCTATACGCAGAGGACCTGGTGCAGACTCATGCAGGTCCCTTGTTTGCCCCCTTCATTCTCTGGGAGCCCGTAAGTGCCATGCTTAGTTGATTCCGTGGGTCATTTTCTCCTATGCACTCTGACTCCTACAGTGTTTCAGCCCCCTGTTCCAGGGGATTCCCCCAGCTCTGAGGGGAGGGACCCGATGGAGACCTCCAATTTAGACTGTCTCTCCAAATAATGTCTTACTGTGAGTCTCTGCATCTGTTCCCATTTGCTTCTGGAGGAAGCCTCTCTGATGACGACTGGACAAGGCACCAATCTATAAGTATAGCAGAACATCATTAGGGATCTTTTCATTGATTTGTTGTTGTTGTGTTGTGTTTTGTTTTGTTTTAGAAAGATTGTGTTTGGTTCTACTCTAGGCCTCTGGGCTCTCTAGTCTCTGGTTTCTGGCCACCCAAGCAGCATCAGGCATGGACTCCCTCCAGTTGGCCACTCCCACATATTCTATACCTCCATTGCTTCAGCACATCTTGCAGGCAGGACTGGTTGTTGGTCAAAAGTTTTGTGGCTGGGATGATGTGCACGTTTCTCTTTTGGTAGCCTGTAGAGTACCTCCCTGCACCAAAGAGACAAACTAGAAGGTAGGGGTGAAGGCTCCATGCGGGCACAAGCTGGACCTCTCCATGTTCAATGAGCTGTGTGGATGTTGTCCTCAGCAATGGGGCTCGAGTTTTTAGAGAGCAACCCTCTGTCCTAGGTTGTTTGGGGATCTCCATGAGACCCCCTCAGCCAATAACTCAATTGAATGCCATCCGGTCCCACCACTTGAAGCCTTGGCTGGTTACAAAAGATGTCCAGTTGAGACTCCCTATCCCCCATTACTAGGAGTCCTCACTAGGATCACCCTCATAAATTTCAGAAAGTTTCCATTGCACTAGGTTCCCACACCTCCTATGAAATGCTCCCCAATTCCATCTCTCCCTGCACACTCTCTCTCCATCCCATTTCCCCTCAATCCAATCCCTCCCTCTTCCATCCCCACCCACCCCAAGTCCACCCTATTTTATTTCCCCTTCGCAGAGAGACCCATGCATTCCCTAAACCCTCCTCTTTATCTAAACTCTCAGGGTCTATGGATTGTAGCTTGTTTAATATTTATTTAAAGTCTAATATCCACTTATCAGTGGATGCATACCATATTTGTCTTTCTGGGTCTGGGTTACCTCAGGATGATTTTTTCCATTTTCCATCCATTTGCCTGCAAATTTCATAATGTCTTATTTATTTATTTATTTAGTTTTAGTTTTTAAGACAGGGTTTCTCTGTGTAACAGCCTTGGCTGTCCTGGAACTCACTCTGTAGACCAGGCTGGCCTCAAACTCACAGAGATCCATCTGCCTCTGCCTCCTGAGTGCTGGGATTAAAGGCGTTCACCATCACTGCCCAGTGAT